GTGTTCCCCAGGAGAAAACTGTGTCTTCTGGCTGCTTCAGAAACCGGATGAGACAGTTCTAATGGGCCTCCAAGGTCCCTGAGAGCTGGAATCTGCTCTTCAACAATGTGTTTGCCTTGGTTTGGGTTATCTCAACCAATAGATAGTCAGGTGTGTGCCTACCGGCTGCAGCAAAGCTAGTGAAAGGAAGAACTGAGAAAACCATCTGGATGCTTGGTGTTGTGTTTGTTTGAACGTGTTTGTCACTAAGGGCTCAAGACCATCTCAATCGAATTTTCCTCTTCTTTATTCCCCAAGTCACTCAAACCACTATTTAGGTTTGAGGGATAAAGAATCAGAGGGATTTTTATTTTTTACATTTGAAGAAATGTACTATTATATATTTATACAGCCCATCTCAAGAAGTTAAATAAACAACAATATCCTATTAAACCCTCCAAGTATGTGGGTTTTTCCCCCCTATCTCTCCCATCCCTCCTCTCTCCCTGTTCCCACCCCCATCCCTGGCCTCCTGATCGTCATCAAAGTTTTGTATATTGGTGTATAAACCACATTTGTTCTTTGTTTTTCGTTAGAATAGTGATGGCATGCAATATTTATCATATCAAGTTTGCTGAACATCATGTTCTCTAGTTTTAGCCACGTTTTGAAGTGTTTAAGAGCACTGCCATTGTTTTTTATTGATGCATAGAATTCCATGGTGTGAATGGCTTAGGGTTTTTTTTTTATCCATTCCTCTATCGTTGGAGTTCTGGGTTGTTTCCATGTTTTCGCTCTTATGGACATTCACCTGGATGGGTTTTGAAGACAGTCCCCGAAGCTCTCTAGATTGTACGTTCAAAGGAAAGAAGAAGAAAGCTCCAAGCCATAGCAAAGAGCCACCTTTAGCATTGCCATTGGACATGCATGGCAAGAATGCCCTTATAGTTAGGCGCCTCACGTTAAATGAGTGACAATGAGAAAGCAATGGGGCAGGCCATCGAGAGCCCAATAAAGTAACAGATGGTGGGAAACAGCATCTCTCATGAGCAGGAGACTGGAAATAGAAGCTGATCAAGTCTTCTTGGGACAGTCTTATAGAGGCATGCGTCTGTCCCATGGCCCAATAATGACAAGTTTAGATTCACATTCTTTATATATGCTTTAATGACCTCACAAGTCATTGTCTGCCTCCCCCAAACCTAACTCACTGCCAATGAGTTGATTGCAACTTACAGGACTGGGGGGAACTGCCCTTGTGGATTTCTGCGACCGTAACGCTACAGGAATATCTTTCTCCCATGGAGTGGCTGCCCAACACGTAACCTACCACGCCACCGCGACTCTAAATATGCATTTGATATATTCATGACCATGCAAGAAGTCTTATCCTTCAAGTAAAAAATCTGACCCTCTCTTTGCTCAAACTCCAAACACCAAAGTCATTGCCGTCGACTCTCCTATAGGACCAAGTAGAACTGCCCCTGTGGGTTTTGGAGACTGTAACTCTTTAAGGGAGTAGAAAGCTTTATCTTTCTCCTGTGGAGCAGTTGCTGGTTTCGAACTCCTGCCCTTGTGGTTAGCATCTCAAAGCCACTAAGGCTCTTCTCTCTTGGCTGGTGGCCCTAATATTACTTTAGGCTACACTGTGAGTGCTTTGAGAAAGTGACCCTGAGCCCAGACACTGGACCTTGTCAACATGCTGCAGCTTCGCCGGGCTATTCCAGGCCACCCAGTGTGGATGAGGCGCGCAGGCAAGAGCACAGGACTTCCCCCTTTGATGCTTAGAGCCATTTGGGCAGGGGAAGGGCAGCAGGATTGGAGCAAACCCTTGAGGGACCTGTTGGGCTGGATAGAGGTTTCCTTTTAATGTATGAATGGACTTTTCTGCTGTGGACCCTTTCTCAGCTCCTCCTGCTGGTCCTTCTGAAGGGATCAAGGCAAGCCAGGGTCCCTGTAGGGCCTGGGACTACCTGACAGGTGTTCCTTCCTGTACCAGGCCATGGAGGAGCTGGTGGACGAGGGGCTGGTGAAAGCCATTGGCGTCTCCAATTTCAACCACTCCCAGATTGAGAGGCTCTTGAACAAGCCCGGACTGAAACACAAGCCAGTGATGAACCAGGTAAATGGGGCTTCAGGAACCTTTGGAGGCAAGTTCAGGGTTATACCCCGAGTCTCCTCTCAGGGACGGACCATGCTCTGGGGAGGTGAAAGACTGCTCACAGTGTTTTGCATCCCAGTGGACCAGTGGGCAGTGTTTGGTCTGAGCTTGGCTGGCTTTGTGGGCGTGGAGAACCCTCCAAGAGCCGCTCCAAACTCGGGCTGACTTCCTGGTGATGGGAGCTGTTTGCTCTTTCAGGTGGAGTGTCACCCATACCTCACGCAGGAGAAGCTGATCCAGTACTGCCATTCCAAGGGCATCGCAGTCACTGCCTACAGCCCCCTGGGCTCTCCAGACAGACCTTGGTGAGGCTCCTCGGGCTCTTGATGCTTTTGAAAAGATGACTGATAGTCGGTCATGTCAGTATGCATCTTGAAGCTGCTGGATACAATACTATGTCTAAGACAATGTGTTTCTGTGCATCGAAATGAGATGATGGTGGGGGGGGGGGGGGGGGGGGGGGCGAAGAGCACCGGGCCCACCCGGCTGCAAATATCCAGGTGAATCCCTCAGAACTGGATCATGATTAGCACAAGGTGATAGTCAGAGTCCCTGGTGGACCCAACGGTCAGACAAAGCCTCCAGGGGCTCCTGTCCATCACCCAGAGGAAGGACACTGTGAGGAACAGGCTGGAGCCACCAGGGGAGGGATGTTGCTCTACAGGTGGTGACCATCTATCTCATCAAGGAGGCTGAGAGGAGCAGCCTGGGGCCGTCATTTTGGGGAATTATGGGAACTATGCTAGTTGTTCACACCCACCTACCAGCTGTCTTTCTCTAGGGTCCAACCAGAGGACCCTTCACTGCTGGAACACCCCAAGATTAAGGAGATTGCCGCAAAGCATAACAAGACCCCTGCCCAGGTACATTGTTATCATATCCCCCCTTTAAGTGATCGAGAGCCCCCTCCCTGTGTCCTTCCTGTGTTGTCTTCATAGCCACCCCTGAAAGGGAAGACCAGAGCAGGTGAAGCTTGGGCGGCTCCTTCCTAAAAGTCCTGTTGGCCCTCCAGGGGACAGGTGCCAGAGACAAGGATGGTCTCTGTCCAGCAGCTTCTGTGAGCCCAGTTGCCCAGGGCAGAGACTGGCTTTGGCATCAAGAGAACTGGGCTGAGATGCAGCTCTACCATGTACCACCTTGAAAACTCATCACTGGCCCAACCCATGTCCCCGTTCCGAATAAGAAAATCAGAGAACCGGGCTCTTTAGCCTGTTGTGAGGATTCAGCGGAGCCTGGCAGAGCCTGGCAGGGCCGTGTTGGTCCACTGCCATCGCGCTAACAAAGGCAGGGGCGTGCAGGGTGGCATCTTTGTCCTTCGGCGGCGGAGGGAAGGTTCTGGTAGAGAGTGGAACATGATGTCCTTCCTGCACAGGTTCTGATCCGCTTCCATATCCAGAGGAATGTGGTTGTGATCCCCAAGTCTGTAACCCCCAAACGCATTGTTGAGAACTTCCAGGTAAGAGCCTGCTGGTCAACCCTGGTGGTTCTCAGTGGGGGAGGGGAAGGAGAGCCCCTTCTCACCAGGCTCCTGATCCTGTCCCTGCATTGTCTTTGGGCCCTGCCTCCTGCCCACCCCTCTGCCACCATCCAGGGGCCAGCGATGGGCTTCAGCCGACTCTCACCGGACAGGTGTCAGCACCGCTGTGCCTCCCCTCCCCGAGGAGGCCCTGGGTCACCCTTATGCTGGCCTCGCATCTGCCCCATGGCAGAGCTAAGCCCCACTGGGGCATGGTGTATAATTATCTTTATACATTTGTTGGCTTCCATTCGCCACTATTTACAGGACCAAGTTTAAAGCAAATTGTGTGTGTCCAGCAGACGCAATGGGGCCCTCTTGTGGCCAGTTCATGCTGTGAATGGGAACCCTCCCTGTTGGGATCCTGGCATGGGCTTGAGCTCCCTCCTTTCCAGGTCTTCGACTTCCAGTTGAGCGATGAGGAGATGGCGACCATACTCAGCTTCAACCGCAACTGGAGAGCCTGCCACCTGAAGGAGTAAGTGCCCTGAGCACTCTCCAGGCTGAGTACCCGGGCTGTCTCGAAACTGGCAGAGGGCTCGCTGGGAGGCTTGGGCGGCAATGAGACTACTTTCCTTTCTGAATTCGATCCTTCCTTGGTGCGGACAGGCCAGGGAGACAGTCACCCATGAAGAGGGAGGAAAGGCATCTCTTTGTTGCTCCTCAGTGTCTGGCTTTCTGGAATTTGTTTCAGAAGGTTACGAGGGGCCACATCCCTCAGGAAGAGACTGAAGCGATGGATTCATTTATTCACTTCACAGATGTTTATTGAGCACCTGCTGTGTACTGGTGGGGTCAAAGAGGGCACCCAGATTTTCCCCAGCAACCCAAGAATAGAATTGGCAGGAGGGAAGGGGTGGGGAGCTTGCTTTGTGGCCAGTGTGTAATGGCTTGTAGGTGTCTAACTGGGGTGGCAGGTGGTGTCTTCTGAGTAGGAAAGGTCTGGGTTGCAGGTCAATATGTGTGAGTCCGCAGCATCTATAAGTGGTATTTAAGGTCACAAGCTGGACAAACGGGTCTCCAGGAGGGTGGGTTTCCCAAAAATAGGGGGATAAAAAAATCTTCCTAGAATTCCCTTCACTTGTAGGGCTCATTCTGCTTCTGTAAAGATTGTAGCCAAGACAACCCTTTGGCACGGTTCTGTGCTGACGCAACATGGGGTCATCAGGAGTCAACGTTGAGGTGGATTTGGGGGTTGGGGTCAGTTGAAGGATTCATTCTAGGAGCCCTGGTAGTGTAGTGGGCTATTCGTTGGGCTGTTAACCACAAGGTTAACAGTTTGAAACCACTAGCTGCCCTTTGGGAGAAGGATGAAACTTTCTACCCCTGCCAAGAGTTACAGTCTCGGAAGCCCTCAGGGGCAGATCTACCTTGTTGTACAGGGCAGCTGTGAGTCGGGATGGACTATGACAGTTAGATTTATTGTTGCTCTTTTCAGTCATGATTACATGTCCCTTAAAAGAGATGGAGTAACTTCATCTTCCATTATTTAAATCTTTGATAAGAATCCTGGGAATAAAAATGAATAAATAAAAATTCTCCCCCTTGCCCGGCAATGTTGCAAGGGATCTTTTCAGCATCTAGTTTCAGCTGATGAAACACATCCAACTTATTTGTCTTTGAGGAGATGACTTGTGACAGTTGTGACTTCTGGGTGGGCCCCCACTTCAATGACAACGTGAGTCTCTTCCACGGGTTTGAAAGCCAAGGGCAACATCTCAGTCACGGAGCGTGTTTCCATGTCTTTGGTAGAGCCTGCAGGTCATGCGGCCCCTCCCATCTGCCTGCCCCTGGTGTCCTTGGGAAGCCAGCGCCCCACCCCGACCCCCTTCCTTACCACTTCTCACTCAGATGACAGAACGGTGGTCGTAAAATGGCACCCTCCCCAAAGCTGCAAGCACCCTTCCCAATGGAGGTGGCGGTGGAGGCAGGTTAAAAAAGCCATTGTTGTGTGCTGTCTACGATTCCCACTCACAGCCATCCTTCAGGACAGAGGATGACTGCTGCACAGGGCGGTAGCTGTGTCTGGAAGCAGACTGACTGCCTCCTCTCACTCCTGAGGGGCAGTGGGTGGGTTTGAATCACTGACCTTTAGGTTCGCGGCAGGGCGCTTAACCACTGCCTGTCCAGAGCTCATTGCCTTCAAATCCAGGCCGCCTTATTTACAAGGGGTTCTCAAAAAGTTCATGGAAAAACTCCACTGTCTTTTCATTCCATTTTCCCACACACTTTTTGAGGGTCTCTCATTTTAGCCGTGTGACCTTGGATACATTTCCTAAGTTGCTTTTTATTTTACTTTATAAAGAAGGATATTTTTAAAAATGAACTTATATATTTCCAACTCAATTCACTCCCCTTGAGTTGATGCTGACTCATAGTGACCCTATAGGATAGGGTAAAACTGCAACTCTTTATGGGAGTAGACAGCTCATCTTTCTCCCTTGGGGAGGTTGGTGGTTTTGGATTGCAGACCTTATAGTAAGGAGCACTCTCTCTCTCTTTCTCTCTGCCCTTGAGCCATATATATAT